TTTCTGCGTGCTTGAAAATTGCGTCATGAAATGTTGGCGTGTGGGTGGGAATTAAGTAAATAACAAATGCTAAAATTATCGCGAAGGGCACAGGCCTTGAAATGCTGGTACGAAGGCACTTTGGACTTCGTGCTTCAAGAAGCGGGGTGTGGTGGAGGCCAAGTAGCAGTGCCTTGATTTTCTTTGTGGCACAGTTTATCAGAAGCTGGATTCCTTTAACACTTTCATGATGCATGGGACATATAGTGCCCACCTACATTTTCTGCCTCTGTAGTTTAGTGGGAATGCTGTGTCCCACTTTCACTGCACACTGCCTTCTGGTGGAGGCCTGCATGACTGTGTGAATTGGAAGAAATGGGCCTCATCCCACCAAACTCAGCATCAGGGACCCCTGGGGACATATGTGCCCCACCCCCCACCTTTATTGTTACAACTTCCATGTTTATAACTATTGTCAGGGGCCATTGAGTCAGTTTTGACTCACAACTATTCCATGTACAACAGAATGAAACAATGCCCAGGTCTGCACCACTCCTGAAAACACAGGGAGTCACCAAAAAGCCAAAGCAGAAAAGAATTCAGTCTTGAAAGAGTTCGAGAAAATAGACCCATATTTGAAGAGATAAAGCCATCAAGAGCAAGGTGCTGTAATCACCTCTCACTCTGCAGAGGGTGTTACTCAGCTGGGGCTTATGCCATACAGAGTCATATATCATGAAAAAACTGTGAAGTCATGCTTGGAGTGGGGGTGTCACAGAATGTTTGGATCAATTGCATAGTTTACCATTCACCAAAGAATTAACTTGTTGGTCAGTAGCAAACTTACTTGGACTCAGGGGAAGGTCTTTTCCATCCTGAGGGAGTGTCTAGATGGCACAGTTAACTCCCAGGCTATTAGCCAAAAGATCGGCAGTTCTGGTCCACCCAGAGGTATTTTAGAAGATAATCCAAGAATCTATTCCTGAAAAAGCAGTCCCTAGAACAGAGCTGCATGGAGCACAGTTCCACTCTGACACCCCCATTTGACATGAGCCAACAGGTTTGTTTCGGCTGTTTACCCTCAGCGAGAATGCCTTCGCCAACCTACCATTTTGGTGCTGCGCGCTTAGCCAGCTGGGTGAGAATGCAGAAGTGGTTGAGTCAACAGCAGGCTGGGACGTAGCTGACCATGGCTAAATGGGTTCACCTCTTCACTTCCACACCACTGCCTATGGTAGGCTGCCCTCGCATCTCTCTCCATGTTTACCAAGAACAGCCAGGAGGCCGTCATTGAAGACACGTCAAAGCTGATTCATTCCTGCTTTGGGATTCTAGACAACAAGGAGAGACTGGAAGCGTGCACCCCAGGGAGAAATATAACGTACAGTTCCCAACATGGAGCCTGCTGCTTCTTTCTCCTTCTCCTTCTTTCCCTTCAAAGTGTGGCTAGTTCAAAATATGGACAATAAATCATTTCTGAGTTTCACCAACTTTTTGCTGATAAATATTTGATCGCATCTTTAGAGGCTTTTGAGTTAGTGGACCCGATTGATTGAGAGCAAGAGACATGAAATCCGTGAGGCGGAACATAGGTCTTTTGGTAGAAGTGTTTTATTCTGTTTCATATTGAGTTTGAAAGACAAGTCATTTATGAAATACCTTATTAGGGATTCTTCTTTCATCACAAACCCTTTTCATCAAGACCAATGAATGTACATTTTACTGAAAATCCTGTTTCTTATAGCCCCTATAAATTGGCAGAATCGGCATTTAGCAGCACACCCTGAACCGAGGGTGGAAGAAATATGTAAGTGCACTACGGGTTCTCCATAAAGGGAAACACCATCAATCATTCCACCAGAGCCATGAAAGTCACTCGAGCAGAACCTGCCTGTGATTGTGTCAGGAATATTGAGTTACACCTCGGGCTAGTTTATGGCAGTATTCTAGAAATTCTTCAGAGTTCTGTGCACATATCTTATTAGAGGTCCCACCACAGTGGCAGACACCACTTCCTTCTTCCGTGCATTTCTACTTGTGCCAATAGGTGCTAAGGAGCTAAGTGATCTTGCAATTGAATTCTATGTACCCCAAAACTAGGCTCATGGAAAGGTTGGTAGTTCAAGTCCAACCATAGGTGCCCTAGAAGGATGTCGTGAAGATCTGCTTCTGAAACCTTGACCTTGGAAACCCAGTTCCACAATGACTTATGTGGAGTCCCTTGGCGGTACAAGGTACAATCTACTCATCAGCAACTGTTTGCTGAATCCAAGAGCCCTTCATGCATCCCTCTGAGGACCGTGGTTGCCAAGCTTTCTCCACGTAAGGAGGACCAGAAAATGAATATGCTGACACCGCAATGTTTCTCCATCTTTGCTCCCTCCTTCTTCCTTTGTGAAATGGATATTTATTGGGTCTTGTTCCATCTGAGGATCAGAATTTTAAAATGTCATTGTCATCAACTCTTCCTGCCTCTTAAAAAAAATATCGAGTCACATTTCATACATGTCTAACTACATGCTTTCTTCTCAGAAATGTGAATCTGTTTACCGGGATTCCACACTCTGCCGCCCATTAAGGCAGCTGGCCATTTAATGCAATAACTAAAAGTTACCAGTCGACTCACATACTGGATAAACATTAGGATATAGGGAATTCAAGGTGCCCAGGAAATCCCTGGGTGCTACAAAAGGTGAGCATGCTGGACTACTAACCAAAAGGTTGGAGATTCAGGTATTGCTATTCCTATTCCTACTCCTGGATTCTGTGTGTCCTGAGCTGTTATGTCCTACTTGTACCTGTACTCATGCTCTAGTCTAACCTGAAATGAGAGGCAGCACTGGGATCATGATAGTGGGGGGTGAAGAAGCCTCAAGGAACCAAAGGAATATTGTGTGTTTCATCGGTGCTTTACAGAATCCTGTTTGACTCATCCCTTCCCTGTGACCCCTCTGTGAGGTGATGTCCCAATGTCTACAGATGGGCTTTGGGTCTTTGCTCTGACCACCCTCATTCTCAGCAATATGATTTGCTTGTTTGTCTGTTTGTTCTGGGTCTTTTGATGCCTGTTACCTGGTCCAGAGGACACCTCCTGATCACACAGGCTGGTATGCTTCTTCCATGTGGGCCTGTTGCTTCTCTGCTAGATGACTGCTTGTTTACCTTCAACCCTTTAAGACCCCAGACGCTGTATCTTTAATAGCCGGGCATCATCCACCTTCTTCACCACATTTGCTTATGCACCCATTTTGACTTCAGCCATCATGCCAGGCAGGTGAGCATCATGCCAGGTTATTAGAACAAAGTGTTATTGCACTGAGGGAGTACTTGAGTAGCAGCCTAAGGTCTGTCTGCTACCTTAATATTTAACATATAATATATGTACATAGATCTATGTCCCTATCACTACATATGAATATATTTACATATGTACATGTCTGTATTTATTCCTCTATAAATGTCCTTTGACTCCTAGTACTTCCTCTATTTCCGGAAAAGCAGTAGCTTTGTAGAGGAGCCGGTTTGTGAATCAATGTGGTCAGTGTACGAATTGCTAAGAGAAAATGAGCTTTCACTTTGGAAACATACTGCCTTCTGAGAAAGGGGGTCAAAACGTTCCCTTGTTAGCTCCACTCCCATTAAACATCCTGAGGAAGAGCTACACAGATGTATTCAGGGTGTGTGCATGTGAGATGAACGCCGACTCTGCCAATGGACATACACTAGGTTGTCCAGATCTGGACATGATATGTTCAATAAGGGGCTCAAAAGTATCAAAAATCAAGGAGTTTGCAGAGGGTTGGATACCACTTCATTCTCTTGTAGATCACATCAAGCCCTCTGCCTTCGGTGCTGACTCCACTCTACATCGCTTGCCGGCCTCGGATCCTCCAACACATCATGTTCTCTCCCACCTCCTGGCCTTTGTTCAGGCTGCTCTGCTGTTTACACTGCTCCTCAGTGCCTGGCCCTCTCTCATCCATCCAGTCTTTACTCAAACAGGACCAGCTCTGACCACTCTTCCCATCAACCTCGAAAAGACCCCTCTGATTTCCTATCCCCCTGGTGTTGTCATTTATTTCCTTTCACATCACACTACTTCTGTGTTACGTAGCATTCATCATACTCCGCTATTTTCTTTTTTGCTTATTATTTATCTAGGTGCCGCCTCAATTACAAGATGAGCTCCATCACTATGGGGCTTAGTATGCTTGTTCATAACTTTATTCACTCAAGCCCAAGCATGGAGTCTGCCATATGAGGTGTTCCCCACTTAATTGAATATAGTGTGCCATGGCACCCACCATTAAGATTGTTTACACACTTCAAATTCCAGGGTCAACAGAAAGATATCTGATTTTCTTTACAGATGCTCCCAGGGGTAGAGAATATGTTGGTAAGACACAGTCAGTATTTACAGTCATGTGACAATAAGGATTTCATTGTAGAAGAAAAATTATTATTCTGACTCACCCCATAGTGTTTTCTGGATTTGATTTTGTTCATTGTCTGAGGAAACCTCAGTACCACAGAGAAAGAAAAACTGGGAGTGGAGTACATCATTTTGACCCAGAGTCCCTGTGCTGAGGACCCCCTAAACCCAAAGGAAGATTGATGTCCATGCACATGGAGTTCTCCAAGAACTCCTGACCCACAGATTCAGAAAAGAGATAAGAACCTTTCACTTAACCTCTTAGCCAACACAGAGATAAAGTATTTCCCTGGACCTGGTGCCCTGAATTTGGACTTCAGGCTTCTTAAGCTGAGATAATAACTTTCTGTTTGCTAAAGTTATCTCCTTGTGATGTTTCTGTTTTGGCAGCATTAAATAACTAAGTCAGAATTTGGTACCAGGAGTGGGGTGCTGTTCTAACAGGCACCTATAATGTAAAAGTGATTTTGGAATTGGGTACTGAATAGAAGCTGAAAGAGTTTTAAGGCCCCTGTTAGTAAAAGGTTAGGTTGCTTCAAAGGGACTAAATAATACTGGTATTATTTAGAGATCTGATTCAATGGGGTTCTCAGACCTGTACATTTGAAAAGTGGAGTCTCAGTGGGAAGCTCAGACAGAAATCTACTGCTGTCCTGATGGTCTTCATCTGGACAGTAAGGTAGACATCATCTACAAAAGAAAACAATCTATTTCATAGCAGTGACATCCTCCTGACATAGCTTCAGCAACATTTCATGCCAGAGCTATCTCCAAGACACGATAGCCAAAGCATCCTTTACCATTGTTTACTTTTCCCACAAGATGTCACATTATTTTTTTTTTATCAGTTTAAAAAATTCCAACTGACCAGAACCATTTGGTCTCTTGCTGAAGAGGACATGAGGCCAGTTCCAACTGGCTGCCCAACAGTCAACACCAAGTTTCTTCCGGTATCCTCGTCCCTTTGTAAAAATGTGCTTTTAGCATGTGTCATTTGACTGACTTACCTTGCCAACATCTCTGGGGAAAGGCTGTCTCTGGCTCTCTGGAATTAAAATTGGAGATACCACAATGGATCTCTTTTGTCTTGGGACTGGAGAAGTTCTTGCAACTTTAAATATATCCTAAAAGAGAAAATAAAATAGATTGATTAAAATAAAACCCTCCAGAGAAAGGATGTATCCACCTGCTTTTAGATACAGTTCCTTTGTTGGGGAAGCATACAGCTGTTTGGACATTGTTAATTCTGTTCTATCAAACCTCATTAGCGTTAGCAAGTGCATTGTTGGAATCATACTAAGGCTGACATTGTGATTCACAATGACTATCATTAAGCTATTTAATCCTTTCTTCTGAACCGTTCTATTCACAATGTCAGTCTTAATTTATACATCCTCCAGTGCACGTGCATTACCTTTCTTAATCTTCCAGCGAGTGGATTACTCATCTGGTCAGGAACCCAAAGGACTCACTGTGTATCAAAGAACTCTTTTCTACCAACGGTGAGGTCCTCACAGTCAAAAATGAATGCGGTTGGAAGGGCCATTACAAAGGCATGGTGTGCTACTGTAAGCAAGTCTATGAAAGGACTCTGTGATGTTCTTAGTGGAGTGGTGGTCTGACTTTGAAATGCACTTCTCCCATGTTATTCTTTGGTGGTGGTGGTTGTTAGGGACCGTTGCGTTGGTCCTAACCCACAGTGACAAATGCACAACAGAATGACATATTGCCTGGTCCTGTGCTGTCCTCACAATTGTTCTATGTTGAGTACGTTACTGCAGACACTATGCCAATTCATCAACCACTGTGGGTCTTCTTCTCTTTGGCTGCCCCTCTGCTTCACTGAGCATGATGTCTTCTCCAAGTGCTACTCTTATAATTTTTGCCTTATCTGTAACTTACTTTTTAAACTAAATAAATGTATTCCAAAAGGAAACATTTTATCAGTGTTTTAAATAAAATTTCAGCATGACCTTCCATAAAATGGTGAAAAACATGAAAATAAACATACTGGAGATAGAACGATGTTACAAATTCCACCTAGAAACAGTTGCCTCTGGAATTAAAACTCCTTATAAGGGACCTACTCACACTTTTTAAAAATGGAGATAAGAAAGTATTAGAGAGTTATTAGCGCCCAGCTGAGACTATCTCCTTGATCGGATCAGGACTTAAGGAGAATTAGAAATTGGGTATCATTTTCAAGACATGATATGGCCTCACTTAATATCACAGACTAACTAAAATTACCTTGCGCATCACCAGAAGCAAGCAATCCGACCATTAAACAACAGGTTCCTATAAAATCACACAATAAGTGAGAGGCTCATGTCATACCAGTCCCACAAAAGTGTGTGTGTGTGTGTGTGTGTGTGTGTGTGTGTGTGTGTCAGCCAAGCTCACTGGCATCAAGTGGATTCAGACTCCGAGGGAGTCTATAGTGATGGGGCTTTCTACTCCCATCAAGAATTACAGTCTTAGAAATGCACAGGGGCAGCTCTTCCCTGTCCCATAAAGACTCTCCCTATAGATACATACACACATAGATGTGTATATACATGCATACGTGTACATATCCACATATACATATATGTGTGCACATATATACACATATATGCATGTATATATAATCATATTACAGGATTCTATAATTTAGAGTTTAAAAGGATATTAACAGAAACACAGTCAAACTTAAGCCATGGCTGATATTTGCAACTGACCCCTCTCCTGAGGAGTCTCTGAGATTCCCTTCACCAGGAATTGAGTTTCATGTGGTGACACAGGCTGTTCTGAGTCACCTAGCTAACAGAAAGAACACATGGGGTAAAACGTATAGGAAAATATAGACGACTCTATCGAGTGGTGCAACGCTTAGCTTTGTCTGTCAGTGTGGCCTGGCGTTGGGGCCCAGTTGTTTGGTCAAACACAGGATAGCTTCAGTTGTGACCTGGTGACATGAGCTCCAATGAAAGGCATCTGGTAAACGAGATCACCTTCCACAATGCAGTTGGGCTGCATCCAACCACATGATGGTCTTAAGAGCAAAGGCGGGAGCTTTCCCAAGGGTATGTTTTCCCTCTACACGGTCAAGAGAAGCCCCAGCGTCCTTTGCTCTCCACTGCTCTTATCACTTGACTTCTGGGAACTGGCACACAAGACTGCAGGGTTTCTGAGCCTGTCACCTGACCTACAGAATTGGAACTGGTCATGATTGCAATTGAATCACTTTCAGACTCATGGTAACCGGGTTGGACAGGGTAGAACCCCCTAGAAGAGTCTCCAAGGTTGCCTGGTCATGGGAGCCCAGCATGGCATCTTTCTCCTGTGGTGTTAGCCTAGTGCTTGACTCTTGGTGGACTTGCCCCCTGCAAACACATGAGTCAATTTCACAGTATAAATGCCTCTTGCTCTTGCTCTTGCTCTCTCTCTACCTCGCTGCCTCTGTTTCTTCAGAGAACCCACTAGGCAGGCACATTCTATTTTACATAAACTACGCCGTGCACCATTTCATGACTCAAATCTCAATGAAATCGCCCAAGGAAGATAGAGTGTTTTCTAGGAAGACCAAAGACTCACGGTTCAGGCAAAGAAGGGAAACTGGTTTCTGGGTATGTAGAAAACCGTGAGTTGAAGAAGGTCAAAAGGGGTGAAAACCAACAGGCCCAAAGGCACTAGACCAACCAATGAAAACAAAAATGCGTAGAATAAGCAGCCATACAGACAAAGCAGCCGGGAGAGAGAGAGGGACTGGCACAGACAATGGGAAGGCAGCAGAAATCCCTGTGGGTCACATTTATAAAAAGCCGATGACTGTGCCACCTCGCTGAAGCTCCTGCTGCCTTATTAGAGAATGGCAGAAACATAGAAACATGTAAAATATGTGCAATGTACAAATCTCATTTACAAGAAAAAAATAAACATCAAAAACAACGGGAGGCTCAGATGAGATGTCAGGTGAAGGTGTTGAAAAGATTTAATGTCCTCTGCAGATGGCAGGGCTGGTGACTGGCTCTGTAGTGGGACAGGCAGAGGCTCTGGTTCATTATGACAATCCATATGTAAATGTGAGAGTCTCAGCCCTCTGGGTTTCCAGAATGATCTACTCCTCAAGCCCTACCCCAGTTCCGCCATCAAACCCTTGGCTACCAGCCCACTTCCCGGAATTTCACAGTTCCTAGAGGCACTCCTTGAACACTGAATCTCAAGAAATTGTATCCAGAATGGACAGTGGGCGATCGATGATGAAACTCTCAAGACACACATATAACTGGGAGCCCATCGTCTTACAAAGGGCTGGTCAGGGCCAGAACATCACTATTTCTCTCACCGGTAACCCTTTGCTTTACGTTGTGAGAAACCACAAGGAGCATTTGCTCAATGGCAGTTTTATATTCATGACTCTGTCTCTGCCCTTTGATAGTACCTACATTTAGACCTATGTGTTGATTGGCAAATGTCCACCTGTGATCGTATATTTGTGGCTGTGTCTACCTGTACTCATGACAGGGCTGACGATGCTTTCTGTATGTTCTGAAGACATGTGAGTCTGTGTGACTGTGACCAGGTGGGAATCAGAGTGCCTGATTTGAATGGAAATGATACACCACATGCATATGTGTGTGTAACCATGGTAATAGGCAACAGCGTACAATGTCTTTGTATCTGTTGATTCTTATGAAGATGTGTCCTTGTCTATAAAGATCTGCAAGTGAAGAGGAGCAAGTGGGTGTGCTTAGAGTATGCATGGATATTTGTGGTAGAAAAGATACAGATATATAGATACAGATAGACAGATAGATGTAGATAGATTATAGATATAGATAGAGATGAGATAGAGCTAGAGATAGATAAGGTGATCCTTTGGAGCCCTCACCAAACAGAATATGGATCAGACCTGTGGAATAGGCAGGTGGGGGGCAGGTAAGGGAACACCTTTCAACCTCTCAGAGAGTGCTTGATTGGCCGAAGGCATGGCAGAGAGATGTGAGATACACCCATCTCCTCCATGGGCAGGTCTGGAAGAAGAGTGAGATTGTATCATCACCCATGAGTGGGATGCCCAAGCCTCTACTTACTATTATTGCAAAACCAACTGATGGGCAATGACTGCACCCTTAGGAGAACAGACATTGTGCAAAGGACACACGAGGAGGCTTCACAAAGTTCCTGAAAAAAATATGTATATATTTTTTTAATTCATGTTTCCATAGACTTTCCTGAAGTGTTTCCTCTGTGTGGCATGTCAACAAATCTTCATGAAAACTTTGTAAGGTCATTTTTATTGTCCTGATTTTATAGATGAGGGAACTGATCTCCATAGAGGCCAGCTAGCCAGTGAGGTCAACTTGAACCTGGAACTGGAGTAGAACCCAACTCTTGCTGGGAGCTTGGATACGCCGCCGCCGCATGGGAAAGGGCGGTTCAGTCCTAAGGACTCAGAGGGATGCACAAGGACTTCACTGTGCTGTGTGCCGCAGACCCTGCACGACTGTGGCTTGTGGGAGCCCTCCCTCCAGCGAGGCCATCCCCACACCTTCCCAATAGCGTGTTCTCACGCTAGTCTCTATGTCCCATTTTGGTCCTGCTCACAGTACTTCAAGCTTTTTTAATATTATACTATTGCACACAGTGTAGACTATGCCGTGCTGTAATATAACTTTGTATGCTCTGGGAAAGCAAGAAATCCAAGTGACTTGTCATATTGTGGCATTGTCTTTATGGCAGAGAGATGGAACTCAGCCCGCAGTCTCTCTGAGGTGGGCCTGTACTGTGGGGCTTCTAAGGATATATAGAGATTCCCAGAAATGTTCTCAACTCAAGATGCACACTTTCTACTTGTGCAGGCTGTCAAACACAGAGAGGTGTTAGAAAGGGGGAGAAGTTGGATAGCGATGTGCTTGAAGAAAGAAAACCAAAAGCAAGCCCAATGCCATTGAGTGATTTTGTCTTATAGCAACACTTACAGGGTTCCCAAGTGATGCCAGGAGGGGAGGGGGAAGGGGAGGGAGAAAGGGGAGCAAGGAGGAACTGATTGCAATATATAACACTCACACACACACACACCAGGGGAACGAACAACAGAAATGTGGGTGCAGGGAGACAGCGGACTGTGTAAGATATGAAA